GGAGGTGGGTGCTGTTGCTGGAAGAGCGCAGAAGCCCAAGGGGACCAAGCTGGGGGACACACGGGTGACCCAGCTGCTGGCTCTACCCTGAGCAGGGAGGCGGCCTCCATCTTTGATCCCAAGGAATGTGACCGAGATACTTGTTAATGCCTGGTGGGAATCCAAGGCTAGTGGCCTTGGGTGACCAGGGTGGACGGCTCAGGGGCCTGGACAGTAGGTGAGGCAGGGTACACCCTGCCTGGGCGTGGGGCCTGCATCAGGTGTGGTTCCCTGAGGCCCTCCATCACCAGTGGGAGGAGAGGCACCCTCCGTCCCCGATGGCCGGCCTGTCCTGCAGATGGAGAGACCGAGACTGCGGCTCTGGCTGGGCTGTGGCTGGGCTGGCCATGTGACCAGGCCTGGTGGGGCCGCAGGGCCGCAGCTTTTCCTCATCTGTGCAGGGACACTGTCCTGTCATGCGAACTTGGCCAGGCCCGCGTGAGAGGCCTGCGTGAGAGGCCAGCAGCCTGAAGGGCTGGGGGGGTAGCCACCCCTTTCCCACTAATTGGGACAGGAGACTTTGTCATGAGGTTCCCACCAGCAAGGATGAGAAGCAGTCCCTCCGCAGCCAGTTTTATGAGTTTGTAGGCCCCAGCGCGGAGGCCCGCTCCAGGGAGGAGGCCAGGGTGAACTGGAGGCCAGCAGCTGGGCCTGGACTAACGGAGTCCAGTTTACCATCCTCACTCGGGAGGAGGCCGGGGCCGGCCACAGACCCGCCCGGCCCAGGCTTCTTTAGAGACCGCTTTCAGCTGACTCATCTGGGAGACCAAGACCGCCCAGCAGAGGCCACCCCAGCCCAGCCCCCAGCCCCGGCCTCTGACCTCTGCACCCCGTCCCAGGTTGGCCACGGCTGTCCTGCTGCCTGACCAACCTGAGGGCCCCGGCCCTGCTCCGGCAGGACCTCCTCTGGGCACTCCCGGCCAGCAGGCCAGCTCATCCAGGCTCCGCCCCTGGGGCCAGCTCACCTTGACCGTCCATTCTGCAGGGGAGACAGAGTCTGCCCCCGTCTCCTGGGGGGGCAGGTGGCGGGAGGGGGAGGGCACTCCAGAGGTCCCCAGGGGTACGTCACACTTGCCTTCTCTTAGAGAGCCTCAGGCAGGCGGTGGACTCTCTGGGCCTCAGTTTCCCCAGTGGTATAATGAGGGCCGCCGAAGCCCGTGGTGGGTACCAGAATCTATCTTCTAACGACAGCTTTCCCAAAAGCCACGCCAGTGATAAAAACCAAAACCGCTCTGGCCACGCCGCCACCACGCCTGGTGGGTCAACCCTGCAGACCCTGCAAGGCCACTGTCCAAGCCCTGAGTACAGAGCTCTTCTTCCTCCACGGCCTCTGGGCACAGCTTGGGTAATGCGTGGGCCCCAGAGCTGCCACCACTCAGATCTCAGTGATCGTGCAAGAGCAGTTTCAAGATATTGGGCAAGTCACGGAACCTCTCTGAGCCTCAATTTCTTCATCTATAAAATAGAGCCAGGAGAGTTAAGCACACAGCTAATACTCAGGGTGTCCGTGTACAGTTGTGCAGGTTGTGCATGACCTCACCCACCCACAGTGCTGCTGTCTATTATCCCTCTCACTTCCCTCCTCTTGCTTCGAGAGGCTTGGCAGAAGTTGGGAGCCACAGGAGGGGCCCCCACCTCCCACCCCTGCCCACCTGGCCCCTGTCTCTCCACCTTACGGCTTTCCCTGCCCCATGTGCTGCTGCTAGGCACGGACCCAGAGGAGACCATTCTCCACGCCTTCAAGGTGTTTGACACCGAAGGGAAGGGATTCGTCAAGGCTGACCTGTGAGTGCGCTGGGGTGGGTCCCGGGGGGAGGCAGCCCCTTCCCTCTCCCACCCAGAGCCCAGCCCAGCAGGGGCAGCACCCTGTCAGGAGGCCACTGCCCAGCCCAGCCCCTCCTGGGCCCCTCCCCCTCTCTGGGCCCCAGCGTCCCCCTCTGCAGGCTTGTGGGATTGGAAAGGAGTGGTGTGGGGGCGCTTGGGGGTCTTCCCAGGGGAAGGAGGCAGAGGGGTCCTTGAAGGAGACTCCAGGTGGCCTGAGCATGGGGTGGGGGGTGCAGCACCTGGGGGGGGCTCACTCCCCAGCCGGGGACCCCGGTCTGCTTTGGGAGCATGGGAGTCCTGGGACCCCCTCCCTGTGGGTGCAGGGGGCAGAGCCCCAGGCAGGGAAGTGGCAGCTTGCCCAGGCCCTGGGGCTGTGTCAACTCTGATCTGTGCCCAGGAGGTTCCTTCTGAGCCTGGCTGGGCCTAGGTTGGTGGCCCTGGGCAGGTGAGATTCCCCCCCGCCCCGCCCCCACATGCTCAGGCCACCTGACCATGACCATGTGCTTCTGGTTGGGGGCGGTTTTACGGAGTGCTCACTCGGAGTCTCACCCTGGGGTGGAGGGGAGGCTGGTTGGTCCCATCTCACTCGATCTCACCCAAGAGTGAGTCAGAGTCCTGTGGGTGTCCGGGTCCCCCACTTTCCATTCCCTCCGAGGGCCTGAGGCTCCCACCTCCATCTTGGGGCCAGGGGAGGCACCTGGGGCCTCCACCTAGCCTGGCCTGGACCAGCCCCCTACTCTGTCCCACCCACTGAGGACAGGGCTGGGAGGAACCCATCAGGGACCCCGTTTGGGAATGGAAGGTGCCTCCCCAGGCCACGGGACCTGGAGGAGGTGGCTGCTGGCCAGCAGGCCACAGAGGAGGCTCTGGTTGAAACAGCATCTGTGACGAGTCCCCAGCTCAGGGAGTCGGAAACTGTGACTGTCCCAGAAACATAAATAATGGAAAATGTGCGTCGGCGCCGAGCGGGGCCTGCCTTGCAGACACCAGGGGACACTCTGGGTGCACGGGGCCTGGCTCAGCCCTCTGATCGTCCTGTCCGTCCACCAGCCCGTCCCCCCATCCTGGCAAGGTCCCCCAGTGCCAGGGGATCTGTCCCTTTGTGTGCAGGCCCCAGGTCCCACCGCAGGCTGCTCCTCTGCCCCCAGAAGCTGCTCTCCTGACGGCCAGGGATGGTCCCCACTGTCTCGCTGTGGGATGTAGGGCAAGCCATAGGCCCCCAGCCCCAGCGTCCCCCCTAGTGAAAGGGGGATCCAGTCCCCGTTTCCCAGGTCCCAGAGGGGCCGGGCGTGGGCAGGCTGTCCTGTGTCTAGGACAGCATCTTAGTGTCTGTGAAATGCTACGCAGATGTCAGCAAAAGTCACCATCTAGACACAGAAGTCCTGGGCATCTTCCCTCAGTGACCTTCTTTTTGGTACCAAGGATTGAACCCAGGGGCACTGAACCCCTGAGCCCCATCCCCAGCCCTTTTAAAATATTTTATTTAGACACAGGGTCTCGCTCAGTTGCTTAGGGCCTCACTTTTGCTGAGGCTGGCTTTGAACTCGCAATCCTCCTGCCTCAGCCTCCCCAGCTGCTGGGATGACAGGCGTGAGCCGCCCTGCCCGGCTTCAATGACCTTAGTAGGTTATCAACACACCCTGGGCATCAGAGTGGCCCCAAGGTCATGATGGGGTCTCAAGGTCATCCATCTAGTCCCCACCTGCTGCTGGGTGGGGAGAGCCTGGGTGACAGAGGAGGCAGCGGGGCTCAGAGAGCTGTCTGAGGGCTGGGAGCGCCAGCCCTAGGTTGGTGTCCTCTGGGGTCAGGACTCCCGGGTCCCCATCACCCCTGGGGTCTGCATGCCCACCTGGGGCAGCCCTTCCCCTCGACATGACGGGCGTCTCTCCATGAGCAGCATCAAAGAGAAGCTCATGACCCAGGCCGACCGGTTCAGCGAGGAGGAGGTAGGTGTGGGCTTTGGGGCACCCGGGTCCCCTGGCCTGGGGCAGCGCTGCTCCAGGCTGACCCCCCGCTGCCTCCCCAGGTCAAGCAGATGTTCGCGGCTTTCCCGCCGGACGTGTGCGGCAACCTGGACTACAGGAACCTGTGCTACGTCATCACGCACGGCGAGGAGAAGGACTAGCGGACGTCCCCGCTGAGCCGGCAGAGGCCGGGGGGGCGTTCCCGGGGAGGGACCCCTGTCCCGCGGTCCAGCCCAGGCAGGAATAAATGCCGCTGAGGCCTGAGCCTGCGTGACGGGTGGTCACTCTCCCATCGGGTTGGTTGTTCCCAACTCTTTGGTCCCTGGCTTTGCCGGGGGCTGTCCCTCCTGCACTTGTTTAGCGCTGATTGACAGCTCGAATGCTCCCCGGCTGGGCCCCGGGACAGGGCCTTCGTCTGTGTGGCTCTAACTGAGCACCTAGTGCGTGGCAGGACCTCTGCCAGTCCCCGGGACGGGAAGGGGAGCCAGATGTATCCGTGGGCAGGAGGATCAGCCTGACTGCGGTGAGGGAGACGGTTACAGGGGACAGAAAAACCATGGGAAGGGGGAAGGACCAGGTAGGAGGTGGGCATGGCAGAGTGGGAGAGCAGGTGGGGAGAGCCCAGGGGTGTTGAGAGGGAAGGAGAAGACTTCTTGAACAGGACACTCAGAACGCAGGACACAAAGGACACAGAATAAGGCCAGGTGCCGTGGCGCCACCTGTAACTCCAGCAGCTCGGGAGGCTGAGGCAGGAGGATCTCCAATTCAAGGCCAGCCTTAGCGACTCAGAGAGGCCCTAAGCAACTCAGGGAGACCCTGTCTCTAAATAAAATACAAAGAAAATGTGGTGGGTTTGGGGTTGTGGTTCAGTGGTTAAGCACCCCTGGGTTCAATCCCTGGTACCAAAAACAACAACCCAAAACTGCAACACAGTCTGGGTCCAGCTCAGTGGCTAAAATAAAGAGATGGGCAATCTCAAGTGTTGGCGAGGAAGGTGACTAACGTGTCAGCCACTTGGGGATGCTGTCAGCGTCTATTTATGTTAAAGATGTGCAGATCCCAATCCAGCTCTCCCACTCTTGGGTTTGTGACACCTATCACATGTCCATCGAAGGACATGGTGGGGACTTGCAGAGTTACAATAGACCCCAAGGGGAAACCACACAAGCACCCCTCAGGGCAGCCCTGATGCAAAGGCCACAGCACATCTGCACATGGGAACCGAGCCCAGCAAGACAAGGAAGCCTCAGAGACACACAGTGACTTGGTGATACCCATTTGTGTCATCTTGCGGGGAGAAGGAAGTCTTCTGTACCTAAAGCCAAGTCTGTTTATTGAGATACAGCTCACACACCGTCACACCGACCGTTCTAGAGTGGCTTCGGGTATAATCACGAGGGTGTCCATATCCACAGCATTCCGTCACCCCACCAAGAAGCCCACTAGCAGTTGCTCCCATTCTTCTGGCACCCAGTGCCTGGAAACCCGGATGTGAACCTATGGGAAAGACCATCAGGCTGAACCTGAAGAGGGGGGTGCGGCGGGTGCCTTACTACACGTGTGCGGGTCCCAGGACGCTAGAGGGCCTTTTCTGAGGAGGGTGGAGGACCCCTGGGATTGAGGGGTGCGGGAGGAGTCATGGCTCTGGTGATCCACGGAGCTGTGCCCAGAGAGAGCCCGGAGGAGAACTGGCTGTGGGGGGAGAGGTTGAACGGGGTTGGCAGCCCACTCAGCAGGCAGCTGGGAAACCCAGGAGGTGGACGAATGTCACGTCTACAGCTCTGAACCCGCAGCAGAGTCAGGGCCTGGGCGAGCCTGTGCTGTCCCGGCGGGGAGACCAGAGGATGGGCACGGTCAGGAAGAGAGGGGAGCCGGGCGCAGTGGAGCACACCTGTAATCCCAGCAGCTCGGGAGGCTGAGGCAGGAGGATGGTGAGTTCAAGTTCAGCCTCAGCATCTTAGCGAGGCCCTAAGCAGCTCAGCGAGACCTTGTCTCTAAATAAAATATGAAAGGGGCTGGGGCTGGGGCTCCGTGGCTGAGCGCCCCAGACTTGGCCTTCCTGGAAACCGTGGCCCAGCCCTGTCTCTCTCTCCACGGACAAGCTGCCAGACCTGTTGGGGGCCCACGGAACCACCTGAGCCAAGCCTGGAGGGAGGGGTCACCCGGGCCACCAGCGCCTGCTGGAAGCTCAACTCCCAACAGCCCCGAGGCCTGCCAACCCCGAGAGCCTGTCCCCAGGGCCACGGCAGCTGGGGAGGCCAGGGGACTCCAGGAGGCTCCGCGAGGCTCCCACCTTCCACCGTCCACTCACTTCATCTGTCCCCAGCCAGAGTTGATCCAGGACACCACTGCCACCTCCTGTCCTCGAGGCCTCTGTGCAGGCTGCAGGGCAGGGTGGGCCCCAGGGCCCCAAGTGGCCCAGGCCAGGTGTGGGGCTGCTGGAGACGCATTGCGCTGCCTGTAGGTGGCCTCCTTCCCAAGACAGGGTTCCCTGGCGGCCGTGGCTGCCCCTGACCCGGGTCCTCGCCAGCGGCCTTCTGCCGCCACAACTCCGTCCGTGTCCCCAGCAATGCCTGGGCTGGCTTTGCCTGGCCCCGATGGGTCCCCTGGGTCCTGCTCTAGGCCGGGCTTCTGGGGCACTGCAGGGGCCTGGCCTCCCAGGGCTGGGGTTGAAGGAGACTCCTGAGACAGACAGTCAGACAGACAACTGCAATCCCAAGGGGGAGAGGCCAGGACGGAGGATGAGGAGGAGGTTGGAGACAGTGTCCTGGGGTGTGTGCTAGTGGACACAGCATCTGTCCTGAGTCAGAACTGGAATCACCTTTCTAAAGGTACGAGGGCCCCTGGCTGGCCTCCTTGACCAAACCCACAGTCCCCTGGGCTCTGGGCTCCCACTGCAGAATTTCACTTACTTGCCTGAAAGTCCCATTTCTTCCTGCCCCAGGGCCTTTGCTCATGCTCTTCCCTATGTCTGGATCCCTGCCCTGTCCAGCACCAATTGCCCCCTAGTCCACTCTGGCCTCAGCTAAGTGGCACATACTCATTCTCCGAGTGCTTTCAGGGCATCAGCTACTTTTGTCAGGGAGCTATTAAAATAGTGTCTGTCTCCAGCCAGCCTGGTGGCCCACTCCTGCACTTGGGAGGCCGAGGCAGGAGGATCAGAAGTTCAAGGCCAGCCTCAGCAAGCTTAGTGAGACCTTGTCTTAAAATAAACAAAAGGGACTGGGGATGTGGCTCAGTCTTAAAGCAACCTTGGGTCAATACCCAGTACCCCCAAACAGGCTGTGTCTCCCCACAGTGCCATGGGATCCTAGAGTGGAGACAGGGTGGAGTGTGCCCGCTGCGGTGCCCCCAGCACCCCACACAGGGCCTGGCACATAGCAGACTCTTAGAAAACCCTTGATCAAAACCAGGAGGCCCAGAGAGCCGAGCTGACTGGCGTGAGTCATCTGGAGGCCACTCGGCGGCTCCGGGCCCCTACCAGGACACTGAGGCCCAGAGGCCGAGGCTGGAACTTAGCTGACCCTCCCTGGGTTCCCACGGGACCTGCTCTGAGTGTCTAGGCCTCTGTTTCCCCGTGAGCAGGCGGAATCCTGTGGCCCTTGGGGTCTCAGACCCCCAGTTCCCAGGAGGGGTCCTTCTTGGGCGGCCTGGTGGCTGTGCTGCCTGGCAGGGGACCTGACTCCTGAGCTGGCCACACTGGCTCTCCTAACATTCTTGGTGGCCCGGAGCAGGCCTGGTGGGGAGGTGAGGGGCAGCAAGCCGGGCAGGACGTGGCAGGCCTTGGCTGCCCAGGGAGCTGGAGGGGGCTGGCCCTGCCCTGGCCCTGGCTCCCTGGCCAGCTGCATCTCATTGCGGGTAACGAGCCCAGCGAGACGCCTGTGTCCCTGCAGGCATCTCATTTTCCACTTGGGATCCATCATCCAGGGCCGTCGGACAGTGGCCCCCGTGTAAATCACGAGGGGGTCTCTGTGAAGAGAAATGGCAAATTCCTTCCACCCATGTGGCTGCTGAATTGACTTCCCTCCTGGCGCTCGCTCAAGAATGGCCGGGGCCTTTGAAGGGCCTTCCAGGACGGACCCCAGGGGCTTGGAGCCGGCTGGGCGGGGACTCGCTGACCGCAGGAGGGCGGGGCTTCTCAGGGACAGGGCGGCGGGGCGGGGCCCTGCCTGACACAGGAGTCCACCCCTGGGGGAGGCTGCACCTTTCCACAGCCCTGGGGGGGGGGGTTGGAGCTGGGGGACATGGGGGATCCTATCCCTGACATCAGAACTCAGAGCCATGAGCCGTCCCCATGGAATTTCAGGCCCCAGGGGTGGCGGAGGCATGTGGAGAGGTTCTGAGGGGACCCGGGCAGCCACAGAGGGAGCCCTGGGCTGGCCAAGGACGGGGCTGGGCTGGACCTCCGGGGCCCTGAGGGTCTGCCTCTCTCCCACCGGGCCCTGGGGTCTCCGTGGATGAAGCTGGGGAGAAGCCCTGTGGGGGCCTGGAGTCAGCAATTCCCGGAGGGTGACCCTGGGCAAGTCACTGACACTCAGTGTCTCCATCTGGGAAGTAGAGGCCACGCTAGTGCTGACCTCCCTGGGTGAAGCCTGCCTTCCAGCAGGCTGGGCGTGCTCCAGGGGAAGGTGACACCATGGCTGACAATGACATCAGGATGCACAAGGGACTCAAGGTGGTAGAGAGGCCGACAGATTGGAGGTGGACCAAAGGGCAGGGGGAGGACCAGGACTGTGTAGGACAGGCTGAGAGTCCCCCCCCACTCCACTAGAGTGATATGATTTGAAAAATGACTTACCGATCCAGATGACAGGGGCAAGGCCAGAAGAAAATGAGGAACGGGGTAGCACCGTCCAGCCTGGAGGGCTTCCTGGAGGAGGCACAGCTGAGTGGGTAGGAGAAACTCAGGGGAGGGTGCAGGAGGGAGGTCTCCTTCCAGGAAGGCTCACTGAGGAGAGGGAGGACTCCTTTGGGGGCTGGAGGGCCTGGGGGAGTCCTATCCCCCTTAACAGTCAGAGAGAGGCCTGGGTGGACGTCCTTCCTGGGGCAGTCCGCCAGCCAGAACTGACCAGCCTGCTCTGTTTTCAGGGTATTTTTCTGGTTCCCTTCTATTTATGGCCGTAAGGCTAGCTTTTCGTTTTTAGGATACCCTCTGCCTGAGGCAAGGAGCCCTGAGTCCCCAGATGACCGGAACCCCCCCCCCTTATAGGCCCTGGTCACCACCCAAGAGGCCCATGTGGACAGGTTGGTCCCCACCCCCAAGG